TTTTGAAAATGCTGAAGATTTACAAATAATGCTTAAAAAAGAGAGTGGAAAATTAGGACTATATCAAAAAAGTAATGTCAACACAAATAAAACATCAATATATGTGAATAACAAAGAAATAGAATATGTAGAATAATATGTATTATTTAAGTTGATAACTAATAACATTTGTACAAAGGTAGAAATAAAAAAATTAAACACTTGCAAAAAATGTTGGTCACTTAAAGAAATATTCAAAAACGAATCAATACCTCTAGTAGAAAAACAAAAAATTTTGAATATATGCCTGCCAGAACAACATCGAAAAAAACATATTAAACATTAAATTAAAAATTAAAATAGCAATCCTAAATAAAAGAAACAATAAAATTGTAAGTAGTAATAAAAAAATGTAAATGAACTTAAATGGATGTGGACAGGACATATAATGACAAGATAAAATCAACTACAGACTGGTATCAAGAATATGGGGCATGAAAGAAAGAGCAAAAGAAAGGAAAAGATGGGAGAAGAACATAAAAATAACAGCAGGGAAGTTATGGTTGTACCGTAACTTTGCTGCTGTTGTTGATTAATGAAAAAGAGAAAAATGGAAGGATATCAAGGAGGCTCAAGCTAAAATTAAGTAAATTAGTATTGGTAGAGTTAAAAAATTAATATAACACTTTCGACAATAACAGCTTTATAATTGTTATTTAATTAGTACAAGACATTAATGCACTTTTCAACTTTGGGTTTGCTGGCAAAGAACCCTTGCAGAGTTAAGCTCGCCTTTGTAAATTCACTTTCTAATTTCATATTTCTATATGTATTATTTGTGTACAATAAATAATAAATAAATGAATAAGGGGACTAAATAATTAATAGTACAGTAATGGTAGTTGAATTAACTTATAAGGGAAAAAATGGATTGTTAGTATATAGGACTATTGCAAGCAATGTAACAGATCAATATTCATGTGGTCTCTCCAGGAAATCACTGAGGTAATTCTTCCTAAATTTGTCACAGTAGACCAACTAACTTGACTTCATGCTCACTTATCATCATCAACTGTTATTCTGTCAGCATATACCAATAGTGCAAATGGATTTACCATTTGACCCCAAAATACTCCCTGTGTTAGGAGAATGTGAACAACAATGGGGATATGAGAAATATATTCAATATCAGTTCTGTATTAAGCATATATTTTTGTAAAGTCATTCTATTTCTAGGTATCCAACATGATTCATCTTGGTTTAGACCCATTTTATAAATATTAGTATTAATATGTAGGCCACTTAATATGATTGTGTTGATATTTGATACAGTAACTTGTAATATTATTATAACAATTGAATGATGCAGACCTTATATTTGGAATTGTTTCCTCAGTCTAATATTAAACTCTACTACCAAAGGGGAGAGTAATGATGAATATATGTGAATTTGGTGACTTAAACAGGTTGATAGATTTTAAAGGATGGGTTATAGTAAGATTCATCTGTAAAAATAGTATAAAAAAATAGCATCTATAAACTAGAAAAAATAATGTATTCAGCATTTCTGAAATAACTTAAATACAAATTTAAATATAAATTCCTGTTAGTGGCAAATTAAGTATACTACTTACTTGGTATTTTACTCATATATGCAAAATTTTGTAAAAATAATTACAAGTATGTAGTTAATAGCTAATCCAAAATACACAGTTCTACAATTATTGCCAAATGTGGGTTTAGTTTTTTTTTTTTTTTCTTTTAGGGATGAAAACCATCCAATCTCTTTAAATTGGAGTAAACAATACACAATTACAAAATTTCATGACAATCAATCCAGTTTCGGATAAGCTCCGAAACCATCAAACTGATTTTTAACAAACAATGTCATATACAACTTTTACTATTAAGATATATTTTATTAAATATAAATATTCTTTATTGCACTAAAATATACAATAATGGTAACAATTGTAAACAATGTATGTAAAGATGAACTTACCATTAAAAAAGATCTCTTCCAGTCAACCTAACACAGTGGCATAGGAAGTAGTGAGTGGGCAGTAGTAATGCAAAACAGAAATCTAAACAACAGTAATAAGTATTTAGACACTACATATTATTATATCTACATTTAAAATACACAATACTAATACATATATATAAATAGTAACCTACATATATATACAATCTTATAATTAATAATAGTAATAATAATCAAGTGACATTGGAAAGATAATATGATTTTGGAAATTTATTTTGTTGCACATATTATATACAAACAGATACATATTGGTATAAAAATGTAGAAAAGACAAGCTCAATTTTGCAAGTTTTCTATCAAGAACCCCAGTGTAAAAAGAAGCATCAATTGGCAATATTAATAAATCAATCAACATAATTAACAAGATAATTACATTAATCATTTAAAGTGTTCTATTTCCATCTTACTACTGTGACAAACAATACCTAGGTATTGAACATACTGTATTCTCCAATACCTATGACTACCTACTTGCTTACATATGACAGTATATTGTGATAAACTATAGCAAAATATTGATATGTATAATGACTTCAGCATAGAACAATGCACATCTATAAAAGTAAATTATTAACAATAATAATATACTCTTTATTTAATATAACTAGTATATACCACAATATACAGTCTCACAGCAATATATACCTTAACCGAAATATAATAGAAGCTAACTCGGCAGGCATTGTTTTACAATTTAACACCATCTACCTGGTAAATCAAATCAGTTGAGAGGTTTGGAAGATTAACATGAACTAACATCATGATATGGAGGTAGATGTATTGTTTGTATCACCTATCCCTAATGCTCATCCAGCTTATAGCAATATTGCAGATGGGGTTACCATTTCATTATCATCCAGTAAAAAAGTAAAATAAAACATGATATATATAAATGGGATTTTTATATTATATAATATACATAAATCTTATGCTATTAAATTTTAGAAATATATATATATATATATATATATATATATATATATACTGCATTACTATACTACAAAAGATGAAATGTAACTACAATCGAACTCATGGTAAGAGGTTGCTATAGGTTATAGACACCTGTTGAATCACACATACATTGCAACTGCAACATTTTATAAGTGTAACAGGTGTCACACTAATGTAAATACATGCTTCATTACAACTGATTCTTGTCCATAATAGAGTCCCTTTTAATCATCTATCATATTTATCACGGAGAACCTCTGTTCCTATGTTTGTTTATTCTAAGAGATAAACTATAGAAAAACAATTCTAATAATTTAATAATCTAATAATAATAATATTTAATAATTTGCCTGAACATCCTCATTTCGAGATGAAATACATGCCACAAAATGTGCATAGACAAAATTACAGTCAGAGATTAAGAGCCAATATGAAAGTTTGTAGAGACCAATCTTCGAGTGTTGGCAATCACACAATACTAATGGTATCAGAGTTAAACAAACTAATTCTCATCAAATACCTACAGAAAAAACCTAAAAATGTTAGAATATATTAAAATTGCTTTTCAAAAACAAATACAATAAAAACAATACCATTTAAGGTAAGTGATCAAAAGGAATTTACAGGTAGATCAAATTATGTTTTCCAGATGTTAGTGAAAATACATAAAATAGATTTATTTACTTTGTGTTGGTAGAAGTGATAGATTTCAATACTGATTCACACTTGAGAATGCAGTAAAAAGTATGCTATCTTTTAAAGCGCAGCACAAAGTTGCATTTATATCTATACAACTTTTTAAACATGATTGAGTAACATAATTCCAATATCTTTAGAAACTTTGTAGTATCTTTATCAATCAATAAAATGCAGTTCAAAGGGTCACTTGATGCTAATGACATTCTGAATCAGTATATTAAATCCTAAATATATAGAAGTCTTTTAACTAAAAGTTAAAAACATTTCACAACTTTGTAAAATGATAAAGTAGAAAATGTGATAAATTAATGTCATTATACTTTGTGTTATCAGGAATTATTTTTAAAAAGGGATTCTGTTGAACCTTCACTACTACACTAGAGGGTTTTGTAGTATATATATTTTTTAATACCACTACTGGCATATTAACACAGAGCCTGTCTGATGGTAAAATTAAAACCCCACTACTGTGTATGAAACTTTTTATATGAACAGAAGACTATAACACAATTTTAACCTACAGGTTAGATATCTAAAGTTTTGTTTTATTTCTCCTATATTAGTATTTTGTGCTGACATGTTATAGTTGTCACTTACAAGTCAACAGCGATAATAAGTAGTGATGATGTATTCTAAGCATATCAACTATCGCCATCACTTATAAGCATTTTCCAGGGCCACTGACACTCCCTTTTATTTTCATTTTAATTTAAATGCAAAAAGCATATATACAATAATATGATACCTAGATATTAATCGAAGGAAAAAGAAAATACTGTGCTGACCGAAAACATAGAAAGACATAGTCATGGTGAACATGAAAATATTTTCAAACTAGTTGAAAAGCTTTGATAGCTTTTTTAACAAAATGTTGAAAATGTCAAAACTTAATCTACTTATAAGTCCACAACATTTATCAACAAAATGGATTTCGAATTTCTCTCATATTTAGTGATAATTTACCTACTAACAGATGTTATTTATTTAAACTGGAAACATAAGTGTACCTGTAAACTATACTCATGCTGCATGTGTGAGTGTGTACATCTGTGTCATGTTTTTAAATGTGAAACATATATTTTCAATACAAACATATATTATCAAAATAGTCAAGACTCCTCAGGCTATTGAATTAAAAAAAAAATGTTTTTTATTGCTGCAGTGTGAGTGAAATTAGGTTTGTACCTTCTTATACGTAACTAGCCCACATTAGTCACATAGCAATAACTAATGACACTGATTTCACAAAATAAATATTAAATATTTCTACATATGAATATTACAAACATGAGACAGAGTGCACAGATAACTCAAATGATCCACTAACCTGGTGGAGAGCTGTCAATCCGTCCACGTTAGCCGTATTTATATCTGCGCCCATTTTCAGTAACCGTTGCACCTCATCCTTGTCGCCTGACGTGCAAGCCGCCAGGAAAACTATACCAGACGAGAACTGGATCCTGGAGGCTCTCTTCGGAGTCGGCGACTGTTTATTAGTATCGGATTCCTCCCATCTCTTCAGCTGCTCTGCCCGCTTGAACAGCGCCGACGATGACCGCGTATCCGTCATTTTTACTACTGACAAACCACTTGGCACTCAATATGGTTCATATGAACACTTATCACGGTGCATAGATTATGTTTTTACTACATACAGTACACAAATGCCGAGTCCATAACTTAATTGCCAAAAAAGGAAACATGAAAGAGGAAACGTTCCAGGGAGAATGAGATTACGCTGTTTTCAAGCGATCATTGTTCGAAACACTTGTTGATTTATACAAATCTCACACACGAACACAAATTCTATATACATGACATAACCAAAAAGCTACACATTTAGCGTGGCAGCCATTACGAGAATAAATTTTACAGCCAACTAAACTAGCTAGCGAATGTAAAAAGAAAAACTAGACAACGAGCGAATAAGAATGACGGGACCGAACAGCAGACTGCTAGCGCTACCTATCGGAGAAGTTTTCGATTAATGTTGCCATAGTGAATATGGTTGAAAACTTATTGATGGAAAATAAATGAAAACAAACTTATTGTAAAAAAATACATCGATTTAATATGTATTTAATCGACTTTAAAATCGTCATCATTATTTTGACTTTTTCCATTTATTTAGGATGACGCAGTATATCTTCATTTTCCACAAATCTCTGTCAGCTGTCATTTCTGGGTTTATTCCTCTTCTCTTTTTTCCTTTCCTTAATTTCATCCACTGTCATACATAATGCTGTCTTCAAAACATAGATTTCATTCCTGCTGAACTACAAGTTATTTTGCAGAATTCCTTATCATTGGTTATTTGATTATAATTATTATGTTTAATTCCGCCTTCGTTAATATATATGCAATTGCAAACATTTGAAAATTGCCTTTAATAAGATGGCAAACAAGCATACAGGCCCACATGATGAAAAACACTATTATTATTAACAGAAGTTCTACAACCTTACATATACTATAGCTATTAATCTCCAACTACCATTTTGCCTATGCACGTTTTGCGACATTCATTTTACCTATTAATATAAAAAAAAATCTGTTAATAATAATAGTAGTCAAACAGAACTATGTCTGTTGCAATAGTACAAGAATTTCACCAAATTAGTATTTAAGACGATTTAATATTGTTTCAATTATAGAAATTTAAGTTACAGATTCTGTTTGAAGCAAAAAGATTGTTGCAACATATAGATAGCGCAGATAAAAAAGTAGAAAAAGAACATTTGAATAAACGCTTTGCTTAGTAAAAACACTAAGCACATCATTCTTCAAAGGATAAAAAATATAAGGCACAACTATTGTACAACTGCTTATGAAATGTACAAAATACTACGTGATTCGAATAATAAAAGATTGGAAGAATGTAAAAACATAAATTTGCTACAAGACTTCCATAATTCAGTTCGTCTTATCGTTCTGTGTACCACATGTGTGTAACACATAATCGGATAAACAAACTAGATAAACGTTCCTGACTTATGGAAGATCGTAGATAATTTTTTATTAGTTTTAAATTGCTAAAACTTTGCTCACACCTTGCGGATATAGAAGAAAGTATAGAATATGTTCGCAGAGCAGTACAAATATTATGAAAGGCATCCTACAAATCATGCGCACAAATTTGTTGCAAGAGATATAAAAGGTTAACCTTTCCTATATCATCATTTAAAAGTGGAACTTACTCTTTAAAACGTAAAGTTCCTGACAATGTTAATACCTGACGGTGTTAATATCTCGTTCATATTTTCTAGCCAGGTCTGATCTATGTTTTTGCAGTTCTTCATTCGACATATTCAACATTTCAGTGCCATTGGGAAATGCAAAATTTAAATTCAGTATGGTAGCATAATCAACCTTTTTATTCAGTGTTCATTTTTATTAATAGTCATGTTCGTACGTTTCATCAAATAGTTTTTATTTGCATTTCGTAATTATTTAATTTGGCAGAATAGGCTCAACGCCAATTTTTTCAGCAACTTCTCCTGCTTCTTTTATTTAGTATTCAATGAATTTCCTCTCATTTTTGCATAATTTTGAGCAGGTCATCCATTAAAGCGAAGGGACATGTAAGGTTTATGTCTTCTTTTTTAATTTTAGTATTTACTTGATGGATTTTACTGCGAATATTTGTCCAAATCGTCAAATTTAGAATAATTTTATTTTTTCTATAGTCAAACGTCAAAGCCTCACGTTAAGTAAACTTGTAATTTATATAAGAAAAGTCTATCATATTTAAAAAATCTGACTTAAAAAAGCAAAAATAAAAAATGTTGTCGAAGAAATAATAGATTCGAAATATCTGTGCTGTTCTGTTAATTGTAAAATATACGGTTTACTATTTTCTTATAATTATATTTTTTATTACGGTAACATTAAAGTCTAGACCAAATTATTTCTTTTTACAGTAATATAAAACAAACTTATAAAACCCTAGAGCCCTCTAGTGTTCATTATCTTTGACAATAGTTTATAGTTTGAGTCGGACAGAAAATATTCAAAATTCAAGATGGCCATGTGTCACTATGGTTTCTTGGAGTGTTGTTATTAACTTTATTTGTTTTGTGTGAAAAAAGTGTGTATCAACTATGGCTGACTTAAGTGTTGATGTTTCGAAGTTGCCTGACGAGATCAGAGATAAATTAGCCGAGTTGGACTTGGAATTATCTGAAGGTAACATTGCAGCAAACTACGCTTCTTGTAGATCGATAATTTGTTAATTTATCTTGTTTTGCACAATTGTGCTGCCTCTAGATATTATTTAGCGGTTAGTTATTAAGTTTTTTTGCCTTCATGTAAAAATTCATAGAGTTTGAAACAGGTTTTGCTAGTATTGACGTAATCAGTGACAGCTGATGAGAAATTTGTACCTAGTGTTTTTAATAGTAGGTAAATAGAAGCGGTTATTTGTATCGCGAGATGCAGCGCCTATCTTACTTTGATAGCGATATCGAGGCTAGATGCTCACGGTCGAATCGTTCCGTTGTCACACATCGCCACACATGTTATGGAATGCAATTGAACAATGCATAATTACTCGCGATCCTAACGGAAGACATTTGGTGGTTGTAACTTGTCTAATTTTGAATGCCATACGTATAGGCTTTGTATTCATGTCATATAATAAAAATTTAATACATACTTGTACTCTGTCTATATTTGTTTACTTTTTTTTATTGACTTTTAAGTTGATTCCAATAGGATATCTAAACTCTTGAACAGAAACGTTTCAATCCAATAAGAAATAATAATCTCCATAAATTAATAATTTTTAATGAATATTATATAGATTGTCCAAAACAGTATGTGCTGGTCAATTTATTATCTTAGTAGTGTATATATATATATTGGTTATACAATATATAATATTGAAATAAAGATCACGTCTGAAATCAAAATTTTTCTTTATCAGTTTTAAATCTCAGCAAAGATAATCTTGTCCATATTAACCTCAAGCAGATATAAGTGTGTTTACTGCAAAAAGATACCATTTTTCATGTCCTCAATTTGAAAGGATTCCCCTTGTTACTAAGCCAAGTCTGGGGATCTATGACATTAATATATTCAGTGGTGTCTAGTTTTGCAGTCATTTGGAGAAAAAAAAGTTAAAATAGCATCAAAAAAGATAGATCTACTCTATAGAGTGTTATTATATAAAATTCAAATCCGCTACATATAGAACTTCTAATGCACTATACATAATGCCAGGCAACTCGGGTTTTTGTTGAACAACAACTTATTGATTAACTCGCCCCCTGTTATTACATTGAGATTGTGTCTCTTTGTATATTTCATATATTGCATATATCATAGAGAGTGTTCAAGGAATTATTCAGATTAATATCACCTGCTGAATTTCATTACCATACAACCCGCCATGCATGGATGAGTGATGGTCTTCCACTATGTATTTCTGTAGTTGCTTTCTTCTACGCACAATCAAACTATGGAATCAACTCCCAGCAGCAGTATGTCTAAATGGATACAAATGGAAGAAAAGAGCATATTCCTTCCTAAAAATCCAACAGTACCCCTGTATTTTCTCTGACATCTCTCCTATTCCCGTTTTTGCTGTGAAGCAGTTGTGTTTACATGGTGGTGTTTTGGTTGAAAGGGTGGGATATGGTAATGAAATATAGGGCACAGAGTCATTACACCTTAGTCCTAACATATGAAAGATATCATGGATTATACATTATACTTTGTTATATCCGTGGTATTGTTCATGTTTATAGACAATGGTTACCACTTTCCATCAGGTAGACTGTCAGCTTTTTTGACATTCTAAGTTGCATTAAAAAAGTGTTTATAATATTAGTTGTTAACTATACAGGAGTTGCCACACTTGGCAGGCAGATTGGTAATTGCGGTTAGGTATTGGTGATGTTTTAAGAATGATACTGTTGCCCAACCTTCTATCATTAAGTTCCCTTAGTCGCCTTATACAACTCCCATACAAAAGGAAGAGGTAGCTTATTCTATGCCAGGACTACATGGTGTATAACAAAAAATGAATTTAACAAGGTAAAGGTGGATAGATTGAAAGATGATTTGCAGTAGACAAGACTGGAATGTAGTCGGATGAGGATCAGTGGAAGAGGAAAATTATGAACTTAAATAATGAGACAATGGCTGGGCCATGATAATGATGAGAGTACACCAAGGTGGGCATAAATTTTATGCTATCATTACAATGGATATATTGATTACATTGGACTGAATTTTGAGCTCCTTATCTTTTATTGGAGATCACAAAATTTTATTAAAATGTTCTGGAAAACATGTTACCCTAGAGGTTGATGAAACAGATTTACAGTATATAATTGTAAGTTGGTGGAGACTTAGTCTAATCAATAATGATCTGTCTAGCCTCTAAGGGATGTAGTGTCATCATAAAATGATATAGATACACTAGCAAGCTGCCATACCATATGCCATCTGCCATAGATACAAGATATATTAGTATTTAAAATTAGTACTTCATATGGGTAAAAAGAAGACAACAACAATACTAACACTAGAGCTGTTTGCTCATACCATAGCATTTTTATACCTTTCTAACTTCTAAAGGTCTAATTAGAATAATTTAAAGAGGAATTTACATATAAATGTTCACTCTTGATTATGGAACTATAATTAGATGAAGGTTAATATCATGATATGAATGTCATCATCTTTCGAGTCTAATCTTGCTTTGATTGACTAATTTAAACAAAAACCGTTACTGTGGCTTAACTACAACAGTTATTACATTAGTTATTACATTACATAGTTGATTTTTAATGCAACTTAGAATGGCAAATAGGCTGACGGCCCACAAAAAGTTTAACCTGTAATGTAGTTTCTTAGGTTTATCCATTACATACAAACATACAAAAAATATTTTCATTTTATAAAATTAATCCAGATAAAAAGCTGTTTACAGAAATAGTAATAATTACATATTAGAGAAGAATTTATTTAAAATAATTAATTCTGATGAAAAAACAGTCTTACTTTTTTGGTACTTTAGAATCTATTCTTAATACTGTAGTATTAAATCTACATTTTGTTCTTGTTTTACAATTTGATGGTAGAGTATAAATATTTTTTATCTTTTTTGACAGTTTTCATAATATATTTATAAGAATTACCACATGGTCTTATGAAGTAGTCCACGCCATCCAAGAAAGATTAAACAAGTGACAATGAGTCTATAAATTAAACATTAAAGCAGTGCTTCTGCAAGCGACTGATCCCTGGAACCACCCAAATTGGTCTTTGAAGCAATCTGAACAAGATTAAATAAGCGACAATGAGCAAACACAACCCAAAAGTTGCTTTACAATTGAAAACGATAAATGTCTGTGTTTTATTTAAGAAATATATATTACATCCCTTAATTTAGTTAAAATTTTGTAAAACATCCCCATCGCATCATTAAAAACCACTTTATTAAAGAGATTAACAATTCCTCATAGTTGTAGAATACTGAGGGATCTGACAAATATTACATATATAGATCCATCACTATTCTATGACTATGATGAATTGCTTTTTTTTTTATTTCTAGCACTGGATAGTCTGTCATCAAATACTGTAAACTAGACCCAGCTTACATATATATTGTTATAAAAAAGCCACTTATACATTCAGATCCATATGAAATAAACAATTAACTTCTTCACCTTATTATAAACATTGTTTTCATCATGTTTGTAAATATATTTCTCATTTCAATCAACAATTTGTGGTACTAAATGTAAACATAATATTTTAAATCCATTATTCCTTATGTTATTGTTCATTTAATAAACAGTATCAAGTAGTACTTGGAAACAATGTGTAATAAAGTATTTTTAAATATTAATGAAGCTATTGTTACTCGATTTTCATATCAGATATTTATAAGAGGCAATAATATTTTTTATGAAACCTGGAGTAATAAACACACTGATGGTCCACCTGAAGAACAGTGGTAACTATTTGCTATATAGCACCATGAACATAACAGACATAAGACTATATAGACAACATTATATATTTAAAGAAATTTTTATGTAATTATATAATTTATTGAATATAATACATAACCCTTGGTCGGGTTATGTATTATATTTAATAAATTTCTTGACTTCGACTTGATTTTAGTCGAATAAATCGTCATAGTTTAAAAAGTTTAAAATAGCTCAAAAAAATATTTAATTAAAAAAGTTATTATACACTTCAGAAATATTTTAATGAGAAATTTTTATTGTATTTGTACCTATTTGTTTTCAATGTAATAATGTTTTATTTATTTTATGTTAATCGACGATACATATATATAATATAAAAATTTTGTTATGTAAAGTACATAACTAAATTTTTTAATATGAAATCACAGCAATCACATTAATAAATATGAACTATTTATTAATGTGATTGCTGTGCCCTTCCAGACTTCATGTTGATTCTTTACTTTTAATAACTTAAGACCTATATTGTTACAACATGAAATAGCAATAAATAATTGAATTGAATTGAATAGTCGTAGAATACTGACGGATCTATCAAATATTATATATATAGATCCGTCAGTATTCTACGACTATGACGAAATATTACAACACCTACGGGAAAGGAAGGAAGATCAGACAGTATTATAAATGACTTCCAAAAGAAAGAGGCTTTCAATTCGATTGTATTTTTTAATGCTTGTTACCCCCTAACTCTATCAGTTTTAAGCCAATTTGAAAAGTTTTTTTTTTATTTGAAATGATTATATGGATAGATTGGTCCCATAGGAAATTTATTAATATTGTTTCAGTAGTTTAGTTTTTAATTCAAAATAACTGGTTTTGCCATAATTGAATTAGTTTTTTTTTTTGTAGCAAACAATTTAATTTTATAGCTTACCCAGGCCATGCATACATTTACCAGGGATTGTATAGTGTATAAATAGATTTTCAGAATTACAGTACTCAAAATGATTAGATTAGGTTATATTAATTGTCGTTATATATGAATAGTATTTAATACATTACCTAAACGTATTAGGTCTTCTTTCCTTTACAATTATTGTATTAAATATCTAATTATACAGATTGCTCGAAACATTTCCATAAAATTGGAAGGTAACTCTTGAATTTTAGGATCGGTTAGTATTTAATAATACTATAGTATATATATAATATTATAGTTTTATTATACTG